ATTTCACCCTTCTAAAGAATGTATTGGGTGCCTGGGTGGCTCAGTCATTAACTGTCTGCCTTTGGCTCAGGTCATGGTCCCAGAGTCCTAGGATCAGGCCTGCATTGGGCTCCCTGCTCAGTGGAGAGCCTGCTTCTCCCTCTTCCTCTGCTTGTATTCTCTCTCTCTCTCTCAAATAAATAAAATCTTTTAAAAAATGTATCTTAGGCAATCAAAAGGAGGACTCTGTGCTCATACTACTGGGTTGGAATATATTCCTAGAGCAGTATGAATACCAAAATAAATGAGAGGCATGAATAAAGAAAAGAATACATGGTGATAATATGATCATCTACACATGAAATGTCAGATAACCTTGAAATATGAGGAGCTCATAAAATCATCCTGGACAATTCCTTCCCCATACAGTATAAATTTATCAGAAAAGAATTTACATGAGCCTCAGTCTGGCTGATGAAGAAAGGGAAAATATCAGCACATTTCCCCCCTAACAACCCATTACCTTCCTGGGACTCCTGCCTTGTGCTTTAGCTTCCCCATCTCACATCACTCCTAGGACACGGATCAAGGTTTGTGGAGGGTAAACTGCTCAGGTGTCGGTAAGGATGTACCATTTCCCAGAAAGCCTTTAATCCAAGAGTCAGGAACCAAGATGAAAAGCCCAATGTTAGAGGCCTTGGGAGACCAATATCCCAGAATGTAGGCAATCACACATAGGCTTCCACCTGCTTTCAGACTTAGAGGGCTTTAGACAGCACTGTCAGGTTGAGCATGCTCTCATTTATTCTTCAGGCCTCTCAAGGACTTAAGAGCTTCGGCCAAAGAACAATGTCAGGTCAGTAGAAGGAGGAGTCCCAGCCCCTGATAGATATAAAGGAATGATAGAAGGACTCAGCCAGAACAATGGGATTCCAGAAAGTCTGATTTGGGTCCTCTACTATAGGAGGACAGACATACTCTTTTGGACGTGGCTAATTCTGAGTTCTAATTCAGAGGTCCCCAGAAATCAAAGTTCCCCTGTGTACTTTGATTTGATGGATGCAGCTTCAGGGCAATAGAAAGAGGAGTCCCAAGAACTCTGAATAGGAATGAGGGAATCAGGGCAGCCTGGGTGGCTGAGCGGTTTAGCGCTGCCTTAGGCCCAGGGCCTGATCCTGGAGACCACGATCGAGTTCCGCGTCAGGCTCCCTGCATAGAACATGCTTCTCCCTCTGCCTGTGTCTGTTCCTCTCTCTCTCTCTCTCTCTCTCTCTCTCTCTCTTAATCTCTCTCAAGTAAATAAATAAATAGATAAATAAATAAATAAATAAATAAATAAATAAATAAATAAATAAATAAAATCTTAAAAAAAAAAAAGAATGAGGGAATCTCTCACCCTAGAATGGAGGATCCAGACAAATTTCCCCCAGTGCTGTTGGCTCTGGGCTGCCCAGGACAGAGTCGTGAGGTAGAAGAACCCCCACCTGCCCCCAGTCTCGCTGGAGTGTCTCACATAGGTGGGGACAGCTCTAGATTTGCAGACCTTAAGAAGAGTCACAATAAGGACCCTGATTGTTCAGTAGGGATCATCCTACCAGCAGAGGGTATCAAACAGAGCCCCATCCTATTCCAAGCCCTAGGGGGCCTCCAAAGAGCTAGCACTGACTCCACCTGTGGGATCTCAGGGAGTATAAAAGCCCTTGGTCTGAAAAGGATAGCCCCCGGTTCTGCCAAGGGCAGAGTCTTGGTCTTAATTGAAGATAAGGACCCTGAGTACTGATGAGGGGACAACTTCCTTTTTTTAAAAAAGGCCTTCTAAAAAATAAATAAATAAATAAAATAAAATGAAATAAAATAAAATAAAATAGGGGATCCCTGGGTGGCACAGCGGTTTGGCGCCTGCCTTTGGCCAGGGCGCGATCCTGGAGACCCAGGATCGAATCCCACATCAGGCTCCTGGTGCATGGAGCCTGCTTCTCCCTCTGCCTGTGTCTCTGCCTCTCTCTCTCTGTCTTTCTCTCTCTGTGACTATCATAAATAAATAAAAATTTTTAAAAAATAAATAAAATAAAATAAAATAAATAAAATAAAATAAAATAAAATAAAAAAGGCCTTCTAGGGGGCACCTGGGTCGCTCAGGCCATTAAGCGTGAGATTCTAGATCTCAGCTCCTGTCATGATCTCAGGGTAGTGAGATCTAGGCCTGCGTGGGGCTCTGCCCTGGGAACAGAACCTGCTTAAGATGCTCTCTCTCCCTCTCCCTCTGCCGCTTCCCACGCCCCCTCTCATGCTAAAAACAAAACAAAACAAAACCCAACCCACAGAATGCCTCCAAGAGCCCTGTTCCTGCTTTCAGGCTTCTGTGGCCCAGGAAGGAGTAGCCAGGGGAATAGCAAGAGGACTCGGGAGGCTGGGGGCTCTGGGCGCTGGCAGGCCTGGGCCAGCAGAGAGAGAAGCCCAGGCCCTGGGAGACACGGCGAGGACCTGCGTGAGGAGCCCTAAGCAGAGAAGTCGCACAGAGCCCCGCCTCTGCTTTCAATCCTTGGAGACCCTGGACCGCTGCCAGCACCGGATGCGGTTCACCCGACTTCCGTTCCGGGTGGGGCTTCCACCGCCGGGCGCCATATTTGTTCGCTTGGCGGAGGCCGGATTCCCGGGACTGATCTGAATTCAAGGTAAGAACTCTGAGGGGGAACCGAAGGGATTCCTCCTCCCCCCTCGGCCTCCCATAATAAAGTTGGGTCCCTGAACCTGCCCCTTCGGTTCGGCTCAGGGAGGTCCCAGCGGTCTATAAGGCCAAATTTGGCCTAGAAAGGCCTTGGTCTGTGGGAGTAGCCCCGATTCTACACACGGAGGGGAACTAGGTCCTGACTGGATTGAGATTAGGGCCCCGAGTACAATGAGTAAACCTTTACGTAACAGAAGGGGCCACATTAGGAAGCCCCCATGCACTCTGCCCTGGAAGGTTCCCAGAAGGGTAGACAGACGTCAAGAGAGCTGATTTCCCTTCTAGCAACTAAGGGAATTGAGGGTTCTACTAGACAACTCCCAAACTCAGCAAAGCGGGCCCTGGGCAGAACTGGCAGGCTGAGGTGCCTCCTCATTTTCACTGGAGGTGATTTCAGGGAGGCGAGGGCCTTGGTCTCGTGGAGTAAGCCCCACTCAGCAAAAAGGACCCAGTCCCCAACAGGAGTCAAGGTTGTGATACTAAGTGAGGATGGAGGACTCCTCCCAAAAAGAAGAGGGCCACATAAAGGCCTAGTCCTGTTTTCATACCTGGGATACTTGGGCATGGTAACATGATACCTTATACTCACTTCTTCCCAGAACGTGTCCGGGAGGTGAGGGGCCAGGTCAAAGCAGGCAGCCTCAGGCCAGCAGAGAGAGGATTTGAGGTTATGCCAGGTGACATAGTGAGGACCTTGAGAACTGTGGGCATGTCCCATGCCATATCATTGGAGCCCCAAAGCATCCTGCCTATTATCAGGCCTGGGAAGCCTCAAGGATAGATGTCAGGGGATCCTTGGGTGGCACAGTGGTTTGGCGCCTGCCTTTGGCCCGGGGCGCGATCCTGGGGACCCGGGGTCGAGTCCCATGTTGGGCTCCCCGGTGCATGGGGCCTGCTTCTCCCTCTGCCTGTGTCTCTGCCTCTCTGTCTCTTTCTGTGTGACTATCATGAATAAATAAATAAAATCTTTTTTTAAAAAAAGGATAGATGTCAGGCAGAGGTGTTCATCAGTTCCCATTCCATGGTAACAGGACAGTGAGGGTCTTGGGCCAAGGGGAGTGGTTCTAGGCCAGCAGAGGAAGAAATCTTAGACCCTACCATGAGTCAGATTTAGACCTTGAGTGGGCATCCTATAGGTGATCACCTGCCATAGGACATTAGTTTTCCTGCAATAGCTTTTACCCTTGGGGGACCATGTTTGTTTAGATAAGGTGGCCTTCATTCTTCTTATTGGGACTTAGGGAAGTTGGCTCTTGCTATGAGGACATAGGCATTAATTCAAAAAAAAAAAAGTGGAGCTTCTCTACCAGGAGCCAAATTGAGGAACCTGAGTGAGGAATCAAGGGTTCATCCAATCCTAAATAGAGGAGACATCAAAGTGCCCATCTTAACCCTTTGATTTCAGCCCAGGAACTCAGAGGGAAGGGCTGTCAGGTTGAACATCTGCCTCACTTCTTTATATCAGTTATAAAGGCAATGATATTATTAGTCTGAAGGTGCAGCCACCAGTCAACATAGGGGAGTGGTGCTAAACCTTTCAAGGAGCCACAATGAGGACCCTAAATGATGCTGAGGATCCCAGTGAAGTCAGGCCAGAGAGGACCTTCTTGAGTTCACAGTACTGGATATCCCCTAGCAGGGAGGTAGACTGAAGCACCCCTTTAGTTCTTCTCCTGGGTCCCAGGGAGCTTTGAGGTGTCAACTTTATAGTAGCAAAGGGGAGAGTTCCCAGCTCTGCCAAGAGTTGACATAATACTAAAGATAAACTGAGAAGACCCAACATGCCAGAACACAGGGGGCCTCACAGCAAACACCTGCTCTCACCTGAGTAAACCCAAGGCAGGGCTAGTAGGATGCAAGTAAGACTCACTTTGAGGGTTTTGTGGTTCCTTTCTGGGATTTTTAGAGGACAGGCTGACCAAGAGAATGGGAGCCTTTGTAGGGTCCTAGAACAGCACCTTCAAGGATGCTTCAGAGGTGGCCTTTAATAAAGCCAAAGTTTGTGGGGGGGGGGATGGGTGCCTGGGTAGTTCAGTCGGTTAAACATCTGTCTTCAGTTCAGGTCATGGTCCTGGGGTCCTGGAATTGAGCCCCTCAATGGGGAGTCTGCTTCTCTCTCTACCTCTGCCCCTCCCCCTGCTTGTGCTCTCTAAGTAAATAAAATATTTAAAAAATAATAAAGCCAAAGTAGAATCTACCTGTTGAAGGTGATAGCACCATCTTATTCTCCCTCCTGCAGGTGCCCAAATCACCTGTCTCACACTCTTGCGTGCCATCCCTGATCACAGCCATTATGCCTCGTGGTCAGAAGAGTAAGCTCCGTGCTCGTGAGAAACGCCGCCGTAACAGAGATGAAACCCAAGGTCTCCAGAGTGCTCAGGCCACCACAGCAGAGGAGGAAGAGACCACTCCTTCCACCTCTTCTGTTTTAGGAGATGTTCCCCCAAGCTCCCCTGTTGCTAGCACTTCCCAGGAGCCTCAGGAAGCCCCAACCACCACCAGGGCTGTTGCAGGTGGTTCACGCCGCAGATCTAATGCAGGTGCCAAGAGCCGGGTTGAGGGAGGTAAACATTCCTCCCAGGCCTCAACTTCCACTGCGAGTGCTCCCAAAGATCCTCTATCCGGGAAGGTGGGGTTGTTGGTGCAGTTCATGCTGTATAAGTATAAATTGAAGGAGCCCATTAAAAAAGCAGAGATGCTGAAGATCATCAACAAAAGGTACAGGGAGCATTTCCCTGAAATCTTCAAGAGAACCTCTGAGCGCATGGAGCTGGTCTTTGGCCTAGAATTAAAGGAAAACAAGCCCGGTGGTCACTCCTATACCCTCGTGAGCACCCTAAACCTCACCAGTGATAGCGATGTGAGCAATGGCTGGGGCTTTCCTAAGAATGGGCTTCTTATGCCTCTCCTGGGTGTGATCTTCTTGAATGGCAACTGCACTTCTGAAGAAGATATCTGGGAATTCCTGAATATCTTGGGCATCTATGATGGAAAGAGGCACTTCATCTTTGGGGAGCCAAGGAAGCTCATCACCCAAGATTTGGTGCAGGAAAAGTACCTGGAATACCGCCAGGTGTCCGGTAGTGATCCTCCACGCTACGAGTTCCTGTGGGGCCCAAGAGCCCATGCCGAGACCAGCAAGATGAAAGTCCTAGAGTTTTTGGCGAAGGTCCATGACACCGTCCCCAGTGCGTTCCTGCCCCATTATGAAGAGGCTCTGCGAGATGAGGAAGAGCAAGCCCAGGCCAGAGCCACGGCTAAGGCTGCCTCTGCTACCAAGGCCAGTGCACGTTCCAGGGCCAAATCCAGCTGCTCCACTCCTCCCTAGAGAGGGCTGAGTCAGATTCTTCACTCTGTGGTTGGAAAGGCCTGTTACCTAGTGTTCCTGATATGCATACATAACTTGCTAGCTTTTTTTTTGTTTTTCAAGCAGTGTTATTTTCAACAGAAAGTTTATTTAGATTCAGAATATAAGTTTATGAAGGATATGGATCACACATTTATTGCTGTTTATCAGGTTTAGGAGTAAGAGTTTTATTTTTTTGAAATAGAGATCGGAAATCCTTAAATCACTTTTGTGATCCAGAATAAGCTAACATGGCTCTAGGATAGGAATATCCTTAGATATTTGAAAGAGTTCCACACTAAAATAGTTGGGATCAGAAGATGGATGGATGGATGGATGGATGGATAGATAGATAGATAGATAGATAGAGTAAAAATTGGTTAATTCTTGGTTTGCTTTACTTTCTGTAAACTTAAAAGACATATACCTGAATTTGTTTATGTTTGTCAAGAATGTTTGAGAATATAGGGCACCCTGGGTGGCTTAGCGGTTTAGCACTGCCTTCAGCCCAGGGCGTGATCCTAGAGACCCGGGATCGAGTCCCATGTCAGGCTTCCTGCATGGAGCCTGCTTCTCCCTCTGCTTGTGACTCTGCCTCTCTCTCTATCTGTTTCTCGAATAAATAAATAAAATCTTTTAAAAAAATGTTTGAGAATATAAATTATAGTGAATCAGACCTATTTACTCGTGTCTCTTATTTTAAACAGACATTGAGCATCTGTTCTTGGGAAGTCTTCATCCTTGTACTGGGGATATTTAGTCAAAGAAGACTCAGCCTCTGCCCATGCAATTGTAGATTCTAAGAGCAGCTGTCCTTATGGAAGAGGGTGAGATAGTACTTCATAAAGAACAAGTGAAAAGCATGGTAAAGAGGAGGCGAGGAGAACATACTACTTAGTTTTCATTCCTAAGGAGAATTTTGGGTGATTGGGAGGTTTTCTTGGCCAGAGCACCACATATTCTTTAACATGTCTTAGATGTAAAAATAAATAAACAAACAACAAAAAAAAAACCCTCAGCTACATAGATGATAATGTCTGAGGTCAAAATAATGGCAGTAATTGCCATTCCTTAATGTCTCAGCACAAGACAGGCCCGGCTACAGATGCTTTCTGTACATTACACACACTCCACCAGTCCTACAAGATAGGGCTTATCAAACCTACTTCATAGAGAAGAGCCTGAGGCTCATAGAGTTAGAGTTTGACAATGTGCCAGAATTCATAGGGCTAGGGCATGAGAAGGCTGGACTAGATGATTATAGAGCCCACACTGTTTTACTATTCCCACCCTGAGACACAGCCTGTGTTTCTTATTTAAGATTTATTTTCAGTACTTTAAGATTTGTCTTAGGTGATCAAAAGAATGGCTTTGTATCCAAACTCCTGAATTGAAATATATAGCCAGAGCAGGTCTATTTTTAATTCTTTGAGGAACCTCCACACAGTTTTCCAGAGTGGCTGCACCAGTTCACATTCCCACCAACAGTGTAAGAGGGTTCCCTTTTCTCCGCATCCTCTCCAACATTTGTGGTTTCCTGCCTTGTTAATTTTCCCCATTCTCACTGGTGTGAGGTGGTATCTCATTGTGGTTTTGATTTGTATTTCCCTGATGGCAAGTGACAAACAGTGTATGTTCTCATTCATTTGGGGAATATGAATAATAGTGAAAGGGAATATAAGGGAAGGGAGAAGAAATGTGTGGGAAATAACAGAAAGGGACACAGAACATAAAGACTTCTAACTCTGGGAAATGAACTAGGGGTGGTGGAGGGGGAGGAGGGCGGGGGGTGGGGGTGAATGGGTGACGGGCACTGAGGGGGACACTCGACGGATGAGCACTGGGTGTTATTCTGTATGTTGGTAAATTGAACACCAATAAAAATTAATTTATTAAAAAAAAGAAATATATAGCCAGAGCAAAAAGAATACCAAAATAATTGAAAAGTATAAATAAATGATGAGATTAGGTGACAGTGTGACCATCTACATTTGCATTATTAAATAACCTCAAAAGATCAGGAGCTCACAAAACCAGTCTGGACAATCTGTTACCCATGGAAAGTAAATCTACCAGAATAGAAGTTACATGAGAATCTTTACCTGGCTGTGAATGGAAGGAATAGATCAATGTATTTTTTCCCCTAACAGCCCCACACCACCTGGCCTGGAATTCCTGCCTTGTGCTACAGCTTCCCCATTTCATATCACTCCCAGGATAAAGATGCATTGTCTACAAGGTTTGCAAAGCATAAAGTGCTCCAGGGTTTGCAGAGCTGTGGAATTTGCCAGGAAGCCATAAGTCCTACAGACAAAAAAAAAAAAAAAAAAAAAAAGTGAGGGCCCCATGTAGAAGGAGGATTGGGAAGACTAACACCACAGAACACAGGGTTGCCAGGGGCTTCAGATCCATCTGTTCTTAAACATGGAGAGTCTCAGACACAGTTTTCAAGATGAGCATACCCTCACTTATTCTTAAGGCTTCTCACTGCCGTAAGAGCATTCATCTAAGGGCAGAGTTCTCAGGTCACTAGAGAAAAGAGTATCAGTCTATCAGAAATTATGGAGATAGACCTGAAAGAGGATGAAGAAATGACCCAGCCAGGACAGTGCAATCCCATAAAAATCCTGTCCCAATAGTCAGTTCAGTGAGTTCAGAGACTTTGGGCTGCTTGTGGCTAACACTTTCAACTGAGGTCCCAGGAAGATGAGGCCTTTGTCTGAGGGCTATATCCTCAGATCAGCAGAGAGGGTGGAGTCCCAGGAAGGCTCCAAGTAAAGACGCTGTATGTTGACATGGGGATCACCCAACCCACAGCTGACGGGGGCTACAACTAACCCCTTTTCTACTCTTTGCCTGGGAGGCACAGGCAAGAGCTGACAGGCTCAAGTGCCCCCCGACTTCTGCCTGGAGCATCTCAAGGAGATGAGGACCTTGGTTTACAAGCTGGTTGTTCAGAAGTAGAATCCCAGTTCTTACAGTGTCAAGGTAAGAATCCTATATGAGGGGGCATCTGGGTGGCTCAGTCGGTTAAGAGTCCAACTTGGTTTCAGCTCACGTCATGATCTCATGGTCATGGAATTGAGCTCCATGCTCAGTGGGGAGTCTGCTTGAAGATTCTCTCCTTCAGCCCCTCCCCTACCTCGCATGCTCATCCTCTCTCTATAAAATAAGTAAATACATCTTTTTAAAAAAGAATCTGGGAGCCTGGGTGGCTCAGTCTGTTGGGCGTCTGCCTTTCACTCAGGTCATGATCCCAGGGTCCTGGCATCAAGTCTCAAGTCGGGCTCCCTGCTCGGAGGAAGGAGCCTGCTCCTTCCTCTCCCTCTGCCCTTCCCTACCTGCTCATGTTCTCTCTCTCTCTCCTTTCTCTCTCTCTCATACCCTCTCTCTCTCTAATAAATAAAAACTTTAAAAAGTAATTAAAAAGGAATCGTGTAAGAGGAATGAGGCAACCAACTACTCCATTCCAGATATATTATGATATGCCAGAGCAATAATAGTACTATAATAAATACGAGGTATGAATAAAGGGAAAAAAGAAATAATATTTGCAGGCTATAGGATCATCCACATACGTGATTTCAGATAAAGATCAGGAGCTCAAAAAAATTATCTGACTCTGCCACTTCCTTATAAAAAATAAATGTGAAGGGGGAGGGGCAAGACGGCGGAAGAGTAGGGTCCCCAAATCACCTGTCCCCACCAAATTACCTAGATAACCTTCAAATCATCCTGAAAATCTACGAATTCGGCCTGAGATGTAAAGAGAGACCAGCTGGAATGCTACAGTGAGAAGAGTTCGCGCTTCCATCAAGGTAGGAAGACGGGGAAAAAGAAATAAAGAAACAAAAGGCCTCCGAGGGGGAGGGGCCCCGCGAAGAGCCGGGCTGAGGCCGGGGCGAGTGTCCCCAGGACAGGAGAGCCCCGTCCCGGAGAAGCAGGAGCTGCACCAACCTTCCCGGGGGAAAGGGGCCCGCAGGGAGTTAGAGCAGGACCCGGGAGGGCGGGGATGCCCTCGGGCTCCCGGGGACACTAACAGACACCTGCGCCCCGGGAGAGTGCGCCGAGCTCCCTAAGGGCTGCAGCGCGCACACATTGACCCGGGAGCAGATAGGAGGGGACGGGCTGCGGCTCCGCGGAGGGGGCTGCGCGGCCCGGGAGCAGCTCGGTGGCGGCTCGGGCAGAGGAAGAGGCTCCGTGCGGAGGGGGCTGCGCGGCCGGGAGCAGCTCGGAGGGGCTCGAGCGGCTCCGCGGAGAGGCGGCTGCGCGGCCGGGAGTGGCTGCGCGGCCGGGAGCGCGAATCCAACAGCGCAGGCTCCGAGCACAGGGCGCCGGGACACAGCCCAGGATCCGGCCTCCCCCGGGACAGGCAGAGGCCGGGAGGGCCCAGGACAGCGAGGACGCTCCTGCCCCGAGCTGAGCAGATCAGCGGCCCCGCCCCGGAGCCTCCAGGCCCTGCAGACAGAGAGCTCCGTAGTTCCTGCGGGGGCTGCTGAATCCAGGTTTCCAGAGCTGAGGCAGCCACTGGGGTTGTTCCTCCTGGGGCCTCACGGGGTAAACAACCCCCACTGAGCCCTGCAGCAGGCAGGGGCGGAGCAGCTCCCCCAAGTGCTAACACCTGAGAATCAGCACAGCAGGCCCCTCCCCCAGAAGACCAGCTGGACGGACCAGTTCCAGGGGAAGTCAAGGGACTTAAAGTCTACAGAATCAGAAGATACTCCCCCGTGGTTTTTGTTTTTTCTTTTTGATTTCTGATTGCTTCCCCCACCCTTTTTTCCCTTTCTTTCTTTTTCTTTCTCTTTTTTCTTCTCTTTTTTCCTTTTTTTCTTCCTTTTTTCTTTTTTCTTTTTCTCTTTTCTTTCCTTCTTTCTCTCCTCTCTTTTTCTCCTTTTCCCAATACAACTTGTTTTTGGCCACTCTGCACTGAGCAAAATGACTAGAAGGAAAACCTCACCTCAAAAGAAAGAATCAGAAACAGT